CAACAATGTGTGCACATGTGTGTGTGTGTGTCGCCGTGCCGATTGTTCCGACGCGCGGCCTTGAGTCTTGGGAAGGGCGCCGCGGGCACCAGGGCAAACGCCTCCTCGGGTGCGGTGGGCGTGCCGTGGGTTTGCCGCGGTGGCGGCTTCGCCTACCTGGGCGCGGGGCGCAGGGCTTACCGTGGTTTTGCCGTGGTGTCGGCGTCGTCCACTCGGGCACGTCGAGACAAAACGGCGCGGCGACATGTACACACATATGCACATACATACACATTTGTGTGCATAAATGATATATGAGACGTTCCAGACATGGTTTGGCCTTCGAAGATCGGGCGAGTTGCCATCTCTTGCTTGGCGGAAGACGGGCGGAAAGCTGGCGAAAGCCCGCAGAGTTGAAACGAGGCCGCCTCCGTCGGCGGAAGCTTGCGGAAGATTGGCGGAAGCTGGCGGACGTAAAAAATGCGCCCCCAAGAGATGTCAATATTTTTGGGTTCAGGGTTTCCGGGACCGGCCATACATACATACATATGTATGTTTGCATACATACATACATATTCACGCATACATATTTATAAAATGTGACATGACTGCGCAGCATGGCCCTCGCAAGTGGTGGAGAGGAGTGCCACCCCGATTCTTGTTTTCTATCGAACGTGCCAGGGACACTCCATTCTCGTTGCTTCAATTGAGAGAATGTATGTGCCTTATGACCCTGGCCTAGCCAGGAGTCATGGGCCCCTCCTCCATATCACCGACATGCAGACACTACTGGAATCCACGGTCGGAGACATTCAGTTCCCGAAAAGAGATTCGGGACTTTGCCTCGAGGCAGACTATGAATTGTTGAGGCTTCTCCCGACCAAGAAGGACCCAAACATGCGAGAAAAAGATCATCTCGCTTCGTGGCTAAGCCAGCGGAGGTATGGCGACCCTGTCCCTGCGAGACAGTTCGTGGCCATGGGCAATACCGCGCGGCAAGGAGAGCCGCCATCAGTCGGAGCATGGCCCGCAGAGGACACAGTCCGTCTGTGGGACCAGCTTCCGACTCACAGAGACTCCTGGCCGTTAATTATTGTTTTCAACGGCCGGGTGCTCACCCGTTTTTCGTACAGGATTTGCCAGGATGGGACCCTTGTGTCCCGTGATGTGCCGAAGTTCACCGATATTGGCAAGGCCGTCACCCTTGTCAAAGTCAGTGTCTTGCAGGATCCTAGAGAGAAGCAGATGTCTTGGTCCATTGTTTTCAACCATGAATGGGCATCATACGAAGTAGATTTTGGCAACAACTCAATGCTCGGTAGGATTCATACTGATGAGACTTTGTCTTCGATCCAAGGCCACATGCCTCCGTTGCCTCCCGCAGCACAAGAAGTCGTTCAGTCTGTCCCATGGAAGGACAACGGTCGGCTCCTGTGCGCTAGTTTGCACTGGGTGAGAACTGGCTTTGGACATTGCCCTCCTGTAGCAATCCGATCAGGTACAAATACAAGGTCACTCACGACTACTTGCTTCAGACATACCAGCATAGCGTCATTCCAGATTCGCTTGAGGGAAAGGGCATTTCGTTGCATGTTGTCAACCCCGATGAACTCCCTCGCGCACATGACGCTTGGGTTGGCGCGCGAGTAGCAAGACAACGGGGAGCTTCGGCTGATGTAATATACAACATCAACAACATTCTGCAGCAGGAGCGCAGGTGGGCAACCCGTACTAACTATATACGCTTGGCTGCTTCGGGTCAAACCTTTGGAAACAGCCGTACAGGTAGTGTTCCTGCCTGGATTCCTGACTACGCCGCGGCCCAGCCGCCGGCGCGTCACGGCCCCTTCTTTCAGTACCTCGAGCCTCTGAAGAGGCGATTCATCAAATGGCTCGCATACTTGCCTCAGAGAGAAGAGACCAAAGTTCCAGCGATCGCAGACTGGTGGCCCTTGCTTTGGGCAACGGACATTGACCAGCACGCGCGCCCAATGTCTTGTCCTGCTCTGGCTGCCTTTGAGTGGCCAGAGGAACCTGACACACTTTTATGAACCAATGGAAGGTTGGGCCAGATGGGAACGCAAAATGAATAATAACAACATATTTGTGCCAACGCTTCAGACATTGCTCAACGCACAAGCGGGGGCAGCACCTCGGCTGCCCGCCGAACAAGACAACGCCGTGGACGCCGCAGGGCCCAGCCCTCGTGGTCGTCCACCGGTTGCTTGGGCAAATAGTTTGGTGGCACGACCTCGTCGTGCTTCCCAGTCCGTTACCAGGCGTATCAACTCATGTTCCGACCACCGTCTCATTTCAATGTGTAAGCACACCGAACCTGCCGCCGGTCCAACCGCGACGGCAGGTGAGGAACATTTACGCGCGACACTTGATTTCACAGCAATCTGCGGGTCCAAGACCGATCAGATAATTGATAGAAGGATCGACCTCGATGAACCCGGCGGGTATACGTATTCACACTGCGACGACAAATCGTTGAACATCACATTGACCCAGGACGGAGCCAAAGCAGTGGCCGCCCAATATGTCATGGAATACAACAGCTTCCGCCCGGAGAGAAGCGATCCCGATAGGTTACGGCTGTCGGGTGAAGTAACACATGAAGTCCCGGATGGTGTGCGGGACATCATTAAGTGGAACTGGATGGTTCCTGTACCAGAAATGCAATTGGGTCTTCGCATTATGCGCGTGGCTGTGATTATTCGCGAGATCATTAGTTGTTTCACCACCGAGGGGCATTACATTGCATACCCTGGGGAGAATTTTATTGCCCAAGGCGCCGGCGTAGATTGCGATCATGATAAGCGGCAAAAAGATGCATCTGCCCTTGACTGTCGCATTCGTGCTGCAATTGAGACGGGTGACCTCATCGAGGAATGGGCCCGTAACTTGGGTAAACAGGTCCGCGCAGACATTCGCCGTCAGGGCGCAAAGTTGCAAGGGGCTCTTTACTGGCTTTAAGATAAGCATGGAGATGATGGCACGGAGCTTCAAGATAAATATGATGGCCCATTCCGTACTGCCTGTGGCAAATTTGGCATTCCTATTGCTACTGCTGCAAGAGACATTATTAGATTTACCAGAGATCGGGTAAAGAGTGTTAGCGAGACTGGAGGCGCTGCGGGGCTCCCCGACGGCCAAGCCGATGCGGGGGGGCCCACGCGGTCAGAAGACTTGGCGAAAGCGAGACCCACACTGCCACCTCCACCACGCAGATCCGACGTCCAAGACGATCGGGCTCATGACGAAGTCACGGAATCCCCGTACTCTGCCAGCGGTCAAACCGCTATGGCAGGTGATGAGCACTCATGGTATTCGTCAGCACACGCACGGGATTGGTCGAGGGCCGCGCGCGCGGCGGAGCCATGGATGTCGGCCGCGGCGCTGCCGGCTACGACCCCTCGACTCACTACCCGCACTTCGCAGATGAAGTACAGGATGGATACTACGTTCACCGGGATCAGATATTCTGGATGACCAATAATGACAAGTGGTCACGAACGTGGCATGTGGTGTACATGAGGGACTACAACTGGTACTTTCCGAGGAAAGGATAGGATTCCAAGAACAAGGACAAGGCTGGCCGTGGCCGCGGCAAGGGATGCAGATCCCGCTCGCCCTATGGGGCCGGGGGCCAGCAGGGAGGCTCGTCATCTTCAAATCCGAGACCTCCGACTCCGCCATCGCGGGAGAGCCCCGGGGGCAGAAACCCCGGGCAAGAACTGAGTTAGGCAGAGCCCGCGCGACTCAGTCGCCGCGGACGCGTCCGATCGACAAAGTCGAATCGGCAGAGAGAATGTATTTATCTATTGGTGGGAATCGTCGGGTTTCTTCGGCCCTCAGCTCCCTGGCAGCCACCGTTGAGCAGTAACAAATTTTGCGGTTCGCTCCGGTGGTTGTATAATATGTACAGGCCAGGGAGGCTGTGGCTGGATGGGCCCTACGAACCCCGCCGCGGGGGGAGTAAATATGCTCCTCTCCGCCTCTTCTTAAGCTTGCTCTTCTCACCGCCTACCTTGCCACTCCTTGACTTTGCGGCTTTGTACCGCGGCTGTTGGCTACTCAAGGAGAAAAAGGAGCGTGCTTGCCTTCGGCCGCCGCGCGTCGTCGGTCGTCGGCCGGCCGGCCTCCTCCCTTACTACTCCTGAGTACGATTGCTTAACGGTTACTTGCTGTTTCATTGATGTATCTTCCCGAATCCTCTACTACTGAGCAGAGTAAACACGAGACCTTGATTCCTTTGTCATCTTACCCCGATTCTCAGAGGAAAGATTGGGCGGGGGCGTCGGCACCTCCGGTCACGGCGCCGCCGCCGCCGCCGCCGACGACGACGTTGACGATCACGACGACGATGACGACGACGACGACGATGATCACGACCACGACATCGACCACGACCACCACCACCACGATCACGACCACGACGGCGGCGGCCACGGCGGCCACGACCACGGCGACGACCACGACGACCACGACCACGGCCATGGCCACGACGACGACAACGACCACGACGACGACGACGGCGGCGGCACCGACGGCCGCCACGACGACGACGACGAGCATCACGACCACCACCACGACCACGACCACGACCACGACCACGACCGCGACGGCGGCGGCGGCGATGACGACGACGACGCGGACGACAACAGTGGTCTTTTGCCAGTGGTCTGCCCTGCAAGGAGCTCTCGTGGTTAAATTCCTCACGCCCCTCAGCCCGGTGGGCGGGCGGACTTAGTCGCTCCGCGCACTCCGCCGGCCCATATTGCAGCACCGCCGCCTGGTTTCCAGGGACTTGGCAGAACTTGCACCGGGTATTTTTGCTCCTAGGACCTTCAGGGTTTCGCCGCGTGCGCGCGCGCGGAGTACAGCCTGGGATTTTATTCGTCTGGGGACCCCCCAGGAGCCGCCACGCTAGCACGGAGTGCAGAATATCTTGCCGGAGATTCTAGCGCGCCTCTGGCCCGCTGGGCGGGCGATCTTTTGCATTTGGGAGGCGCTCATGGCTCAAGCCATCTCGGCTCAGATATTTCAGGGTTTGGCCGCTAAATTTCTCGCCGCGAAGCTTCTTGAATGGGCAGCTCCCAAAGCATCGCACCAGAGTTCAGGGATGATACAGACACCGTCCGCGCCGCTTGCAAAAAAAACGGTACGTCTCTTGAACACGCTTCTGCGAGGCTGAAGGATGATACAGGGACGGTTCGCATTGCTTGCGAAGAACGTGGAGTATCTCTTAAATACGCTTCTGAAAGGCTGAAGGATGATGCAGAGGTGGTTCGCGTTGCTTGCAAGAATGGCGGATTGTCAATTGAATACGCGTCTGATAGGTTGAGAGATGATAAAGATACAGTTCTCTTTGCTTTCAAGAACTCCTCATCCCCAAAACTTCTCAGTTATGTTTCTGAGAGGCTGAAAGATGATGCAGAGGTTGTTCGCATTGCTTGCAAGAGTGACGGATTGTCAATTGAATACGCGTCTGATAGGTTGAGAGATGATAAATGTATTGTTCTCTTTGCTTTCAAGAACTCCTCATCCCCAAAACTTCTCAGTTATGTTTCTGAGAGGCTGAAGGATGATGCAGAGGTGGTTCGCATTGCTTGCAAGAATGACGGATTGTCAATTGAATACGCGTCTGATAGGTTGAGAGATGATAAATGTACAGTTCTCTTTGCTTTCAAGAACTCGTCATCTCCAACCCTTCTCAGTTATGTTTCTGAGAGGTTGAAAGATGATGCAGAGGTGGTTCGCAAGGCTTGCCAACGAAACCCGATGTCCCTAGAACATGCCTCTGAGAAGTTGAAGAGTGACAGCGAAGCCGTGCGCTTCGCATGCCAGCAGACAAACGATATACGTAAAAAGAGGAATATACTAAAGAACATCGCGACTGGAGCGGCGAAGCAAGATCCAGAGTCGTTGGTTGCCGCTGGCTTGCTGAAGCTATGGACAGGGGGGCAGCCTAAACATGGTCATGACGTTGTGTTTTCTGTCAGGTTCTCCTTGTCGGAGGGTTCGTCCGATGCGGCGAACGAGTTCTATTGCCAGATGACAACGCTGCCATTCTTTAGAGATTATCGCTTCTATTGTGGCGGCCTCCAGCCTGTGCCGCCGATCTGGAGCGCTCTTATAATAGAACGGGCATCCGGGTCCCCGGGCCCAGGGGCAGCGCACGTTTCCCAAACTCCTCCCCTCCGCAACCCAGTGTAGCCCGGGGCTCCGGTGCCCATTTGGGGATGCATGAGGGGTTGTTTCGACCGCAAGAGGGGGTCAAATTTTCCACGAGGACGCCCATAGGCTGCCAAGAAGCTTTCGACACGGCCCAAGAGCCTTCCAAGACGCCCGTGCGGTGGACTGGAAGAGTGGGAGGGTAGTGGAGATTGTGGAAGGCATGCGGAGGTCGTGGGAGGAATGGGAGGGTCCCAGATGGTCTCTGAAGGAGTGCGGAGGGGTGAGGAGGAAAAGGAGGGTTGCGGATGCTCGTGCACGAGTGCGGAGGTGTGTGGAAGACCTCTTTGGGCTGTCTTGGGGGCTTCTTGGGGTTGTCCTGGGGGCTTCCTGGGCCATCTTGGAGCCCTGGGGCACTCTTGGTGGCACCTTGGACTGTCTTGGGGCGGTCTTGGGGGCCTCGTGGACCGCCTTGGCGCTCTCAAGACCGAATGGGCAATAATGTTAATCAATGCGGAATTTGACGCGTTTGGCCTCTTGGGGCTGTCTTGGGGGTTTTCTCGGGGCCGCGTTGAGGCGTCGTGGAGGCTTTTCGGGCCGTTTCGAGACCATTTTTGGGCGTCCTGGAGCGCTCTTGGGCCGTCTCGGACGGTCTTGGTTACCGTCTGAGCTCCTTTCGGCCCGTCTTGGAGCGGCGTGGAGTTCCGTGGGAGGGGGGAAAAGGAAGCGTGTACCCCATGAGCCCCCCGGCAGAGCCTCCCCGGCCCCCCGCAGCAAAGCTGAAGCCTGAGCTGAGACTCTTTTAAACTCACACGCCGGATAGGCGGATTTTCCGAACGCGTTCAGTAAGAAGTATTGTGGCCAGAATGGCAGCGACAGCTGGACCAAAATGGATGGCCACTGTTTCGGAAAATGTGGCATGCTCTGCAGCGAGATGCATAGAGGAAGGTGCTGCGACCCAAGCACGAACGGAACGACGCCGCAAATGACGTGCCTCAAAGTCTTGGCAGAGGAAGATGAGGATGCGGCAACCCTCCATACCTGCTGGGCGCACTCTTTCCGCAAGAAGCAGCAGCGAGCCAAGAAGAACGGCGGCCTCATGGTCCAAATTGTGGAGGAAGACCGAGGCGGCCCATACAAGCTCGGTCCTGGACAGGAGATTGAGTCGGTAATGGCTTCAGAGATAGGGCTCAAAGTCTTTAGAATCCAGGTCGCAGAGGTGAGCTCATTTCTCGGCATGACGTTTCTAGCAGAAACCCAGGAATCAAAGGCGCATCGTCAGCTGGAATTCTAGACGCTTCGCGTATCCCCACCAGCCCGTCCAGAAATGAGTCCCAGGGGAGTGGAGGTTATGAGGGAAGCGGGGGAGCATGCAGAAGAACAGAGGGCGGGGTGAGCCGCCATATACCCCAAGAGGGGGAGGATGTAGGAGGAGCCGTCGTCGTCGGAGTAGGAGGAGGAAGAGGAGGAGCAGGAGGAGGAGCAGGAGGAGGAGGAGGAGGAGGAGATAAGGAGGAGGAGATGGAGGACTGCGAGGACGAGGAGGACGAGAAGGAGGAAAAGGAAAAGGAGGAGGAGGAGGAGGAGGAGGAGGAGGGAGGGGGAGGAGGGAGGAGGAAGAAAAAGAGGAGGAGGAGGAGGACAATGGCGAGCTTGGGGGCCTCTTGGGCCGTCTTTGGAGCCTCTTGGCGGTCCCGGGGGCCTCTTGCGTATCTCGGGGAGCCTCTTGTGGCCTCTTGGGGGTCTCTTGGGGGCCTCTTGGAGGCCTCTTGGGGGCCTCTTGGGGCCTCTTGGGGCTCTCTTGGGGCGCTCTTGGGGCGCTCTTGGGAGCTTTCGAGGCGCTCTTGGGGCCATCTTGGAGGAGATCTATCAAAGAAGGGGGGGTCCTCAATTAGCGCTGCCCCTCTAGAGTGCCTCGAATCGCTTCTTGGGCCCTTCTTGAGGCCAAAATCTTTCCAAAACCTAGGTAAAATCAATGTTTTGTGTTTTCTCGCCTTTTCGCTCTTGGAGCCGTCTTGGGCCGTCTTGGGAGCCTCTTGGGCCTCTTGGAGGTCTCTTGGGAGCCTTTTGGAGGCCTCTTGGGCGCCTCTTGGGGCCTCTTGGGGCGCTCTTGGGGCGCTCTTGGGGCGCTCTTGGGAGCCTTCGGGGCGCTCTTGGGGCCATCTTGGAGGAGATCGATCAAAGAAGAGGGGGTCCCCAATTAGCGTTGCCCCTCTAGAGTGCCTCGAGTCGCCTCTTGGGCCCCCCAAGAGGCCAAAATCCTTCCAAAACCTAAGGAAAATCAATGTTTTTTGCTTTCTCGCCTTTTCGCTCTTGGAGCCGTCTTGGGCCATCTTGAACTCTCTTGGGGCCTCTTGGGGGTCTCTTGGCAGCCTCTTAGAGGCTTCTTGGGGGCCTCTTGGGGTCTCTCGGGGCCCTCTTGGGGCGCTCTTGGGGCGCTCTTGGGAGCCTTCGGGGCGCTCTTGGGGCCATCTTGGAGGAGATCTATCAAAGAAGGGGGGAGCTCCAATTAGGGTTGCCCCTCTAGAGTGCCTCGAAGCGCCTCTTGGGCCCCCCCAAGAGGCCAAAATCCTTCCAAAACCTAAGGAAAATCAATGTTTTGTGCTTTCTCGCTTTTTCGCTCTTGGAGCCGTCTTGAGCCATCTTGGGCGTCCCTGACACCTCGCGGGACGCCTCGTCCAGGTCAGTGGGGAGGGGTAAGGGGAGGGGTAAACCCCTCCCCGAAGGGAAAGAAGGGGGGTTGGCAGAGGAAACGCTCTAGACCACCTACGCCCTAAAGGGCTGGTGGGATTACTTCAAGAGGCAGTTCAAAAGTGGCGCCATGATGGTGGAGCAGACTTGAGCACAATCGACATTACGATGGACCGTTCGTCCAGACATTTATTTTTTTGACATGCGCTCCGGACCATGATCGTCTGGCAATCCTAAGGCCCAAAGAAAAACAGATAGACAATTATTCACTGCGTGGAGCTCCCCATATGTGCATCTACTCGCATGGACCTGTCCGCCGTGAATGTCTAGGCGCAAGAGCTTTCGAATATTAACGGGCTTCAGTTGTGACGGTCTGGACATCAATCTAACTGCGAATGAATTGGAGTGTGAATGAGCCTCAGTAGTACGAGCGCGTCTCTGTGCATGAGCCTGGGGCCTCCTGGGGCCTCCTGAAACCTACTGGGGCTTCCTGGGGTCTCCAGGAGCCTCTTGGGACCTCCTGGGACCTCCTAGGAAGGTTTCGTGCCCCAGGAGAGGCGCAATCTATAGCAACAGACGTACATAAAACATTGCGGATTAGAGCCACAGGAGAAGGGCAATCTATAGGAACACGCGTAAAACACCAAGGACTCGTGCCCCAGGAGAGGCCCAATACATAGGAACATGAGTAAAACATTTAGGATTGTGTACACAGGAGAAGGACCATCTATAGAAACATACGTAGAACATCAAAGAATCGTGCTCCAGGTGAGGCCCAATCGATAGGAGCATACGTAAAACACATGGGATTGGAGCCACTCCTGTTGCCTTCTGAGGCCTCCTGCTCCTGGGGCCTCTCGGGGCCTCCTGTTGCCTTCCGAGGCCTCCTGGCGCTTCCTGTTGCCTCCTGGGGCCTCCTGTGGTTTCCTGAAGCCTTCTGGAGCTTCCTGGGGCCTCCTGGAGCCTCTTGGGACATCCTGTAGCCTCTTGAGTCTTTCTGTGGCCTCCTGATGCCTCCTGGGACCTCATGTGGTCTCCTGGAGCCTCCTGGAGCCTGTTGGAGCCTCCTGTGGCATCCTGGGAAGAATCTGCGCCCACGAGCCTGGCCACCAAAACTAGCAAACCGATCGAGACATCCTCAAAATCTGGCCCACCTGGGGGGTGAAAATGAGCGCCTCGCTCGAGACATCCTCCAAATCTGCTCCGAAAGCGAAGGATGTTGGGCACAGAAACAGGCAAACCGCCTGAGACATCCCCACAAAATGGCCGCGAACGAGCCCGTGCAACCACCCCTGGCGGCTCCCCTTAGGGGTGCTGAAATGAGCGCCTCGCTCGAGACATCCTCCAAATCTGCTCCGAAAGCGAAGGATGTTGGGCACAGAAACAGGCAAACCGCCTGAGACATCCCCACAAAATGGCCGCGAACGAGCCCGTGCAACCACCCCTGGCGGCTCCCCTTAGGGGTGCTGAGTATGAGTAAGTCTGTGTATGAGTAAGTCTGTGTATGAGTAAGTCTGGGTATGAGTAGGTCTGTGTATGAGAAAGTCTGTGTATGTGTACGTCTGGGTATGAGTAAGTCTGAGTATGACTAATACTGTGTATGAGTAAGTCGGAGTATGAGTGAGTCTGTGTATGAGTACGGCTGGGTGTGAGTAAGTTTGTGTATGAGTAAGTCTGTGTATGAGTATGTCTGACTGTGAGTAAGTCTGAGTATGAGTAGGTCTGAGTATGAGTAAGTCTGAGTATGAGTAAGTCTGTGTATCAGCAAGTCTGAGTATGAGTAAGCCCGACAGGAGGGGAGGAGAAAAGAGGAGGAGGAAGGAGGAGGAGTAGGAGGCGTCCAAGTAATAACAAGAACCCCATCTTAGGATATGGGGAACAATCATCTGCAACGTATCTTAACAATCAAAAAGCGTTTCAAGAAAATGTATGAATACAATCAAAACCAATATCACATTCAGAACGCGACTTCGCACAATCAAAACAACCCACGACCGAAAACAAACCAAAACAAAAACAAACTTCGCGCAGCTATCGCCACTTCAAAACACGGCTTGCGAAGAGGATGGGACTGTTATTGCACAGAGGGAGGGGGCACAGAGAGAGACGCACATAAGGTTTCGAGCCAGAGAAGTATGCGATTTACGCAACCGCCGATTATACATATAACGGCGCACCGGGTCCGGGGGCCCAGGGCCGGCCCCCGGACTACAAATGTGTGTGGGCAGGCGCTTGGGGGCCCCTGAGGCCCATAAAACGCCACCAGAAAGCGCCAAGAGCGCCCCAAGACGCTCCAAGAGAGCCCCGAGACGCCCAAAGGCCGCTCCAAGACGCCCAAGATGGCCCCCAAAGCACCCCGAGAAGCCTCCCAGACGCCCCAAGAAGCACCCAAGAGGCCCCCCAGGGGGGCCCCAAGAGGCAAAAATCGCTTCATTTCCTTAGGAAAACGTGCATTCTTCGTATATACACTTCTTTGGCTTTCACAGCGTCCACGACGGCCCAGGAGGCCCCCAGGATTGCCCAATAGGCTCCCAAGATGGCTCCAAGACGGCCCAAGAGGGTCTGAAGACAGCCCAAGAGGCCCCCAAGACCGCCCAAGAGAGCCCCAGGACGAGACCAAGAGGGCTCCCAGAGGTGGACAACCAGATTCACATTCCGAGCCTTCGGCCCCAAGAGGCCCCCAGGAGGCCCCAAGAGGCTCCCAGGAGGCCCTAAGAGACCCCCAAGAGGCCCCAAGACGCCCCCAAGAGGCCCCCAGGATACCCCCAAGAGGCCTCCAGGAGGCCCTCGGGAGGCCCCCAAGAGGCTCCCAAATTGCCCCTCCAAGATGCCTCCAAGACGCCACCCAAGAGGCTCCAACAATTGCTTCAGATCTGATGGCCCTTACATGGCCCTACACTTACTCCTCTTTTCCCTCGTCGTCGTCGTCGTCTTCGTCGTCGTCGTCTTCTTCGTCGTCGTCATCGTCGTCGTCGTCGTCGTCGTCACCACCGAGGGAGCGCCGAACCTCGAACACATCGAGCCATCGGAGGTCGTCGCCGTCGCTGACGGTTGGTGCGCAGGACAAGGAGCAGGAGGAAGAGGAGGAGGAGGAGGAGGAGGAGGAGGAGGAGGAGGAGGAGTGAAGAGGTCGAGGAGGTGTCCGAAGAGGAGGAAGAGGAAGACGAGGAGAAGGAAGATAAAGATTCGCATTCGGAATGGAGAGGGGCACTCGCACGAGGAAGGGGGCGCCGAGATTCATCCGTCGGAGAAGGAGGGGGAGAACATATGATAGTAATGAGCGACGGGGGGAGGTGGACGAGGAAGAACATCATGAGGATGCGAGGGATGAGCAGATTGCGAGCGGGAGGGGGAGGAGGAGGAGGAGGAGGAGGAGGAGGAGGAGGAGGAGGAGGAGGAGGAGGAGGAGGAGGAGGAGGAGGAGGGAGGAGGAGGATGCGGAGGAGGAGGAGGAGGAAGAGGAGGAGGAGGAAGAGGGGGAGAAGGAGCAGGAGCAGGAGGAAGAAGAGGAGGAGGAGGAGGAAGAGTGAGGGGGGAGGCCCAGGACGACTTCACCGACAGGCACGACATCAGGACAAGCCACCGTGGTTCACAATC